TGTAATAAATTTAATAAAATATACGGAATATATACATGGGCAACCCAATTCACTTTAAATATTAGTTTAAATAAGTACAATTTTGAGAGCAGATTACACGAAAAGTACACAAGACACAACTATGTAATTATACTCATTTTAAACTGTATAATTTTAGCTTTAATTTGAATGCTCAATCATTATTATGCTGTTTGTATTTATCGAGTAATATGATTAAATATAAAGACGCACTTTATAGTATAAAAATTACAATTTGAGATAGAGATAGAATTAAATAACTATTTCTTTATTTTTCTAATTGATTTTGTAGTGCAATTAATGTTCTTGACAATCTAAAATTGATTCTTTAAATATTACTTATGTTATAAATTTAATAAAATATACGGAATATATACATAGTCAACCCAATTCACTTTTAATATTACTTTAAATAAGTACAATTTTGAGAGCAGATTACAAGAAAAGTGCACAAGGCACAACTATCTAATTATACTCATTTTAAACTGTATAGTTTTAGCTTTAATTTGACTGCTCAATCATTATTATGATGTTTGTATTTATCGAGTAATATGAACAAATATAAAGACGCACTTGATAGTATAAAAATTACAATTTGAGATAAAGATAGAATTAAATAACTATTTCTTTATTTTTCTAATTGATTTTGTAGTGCAATTAATGTTCTTTACAATCTAAAATTGATTCTTTAAATATTACTTATGTAATAAATTTGATAAAATATACGGAATATATACATAGGCAACCCAATTCACTTTAAATATTAGTTTAAATAAGTACAATTTTGAAAGCAGATCACAAGAAAAGTTCACAAGACACAACTATCTAATTATACTCATTTTAAACTGTATAATTTTAGCTTTAATCTGAATGCTCAGTCATTATTATGCTGTTTGTATTTATCGAGTAATATGATTAAATATAAAGACGCACTTGATAGTAGAAAAATGACAATTTGAGATAAAGAATTACAATTTTATTTTTCTAATAGTGCAATAATATAATTAATGTTCTGGACAATTTAAAATTGATTTTTTTTTAAATAAGTTTGTAGCCATCTAATTTTTGGATGACCCAATGAAAGAAGGCCATGATCGCGAAAGAGAAAGATAAAGGTATGGATCCATCGCGTATCCACAACCACAGACTGGAACAAAAGAATGCTTATTAAATTGTTGATTTTTCACTTTGATCAAATTACCTGTAATCGTACGGATCGTCTGAAACAAAATACGGTTTAGGCGTTTCCATGATACCGGATTGGATTATCCTGACGGTTTCCAAGGGACGATCATCGGAGTCGGTCTTGAAATGTTCGATCGTGTGCACAATTTCTTGACCTTTCACTACCTAAAAATTAAATATAATTTATCTTTATGTCTTTGATTTTATCTGTGAGTTAAGTTAATTGCAGGATGAGAATACTGGACCTTTCCAAAGACAGTGTGATAACCGTCCAACCAATTCGTTGCAATTGTGGTGATGAAAAACTGGCAACCGTTGGTGTTGGGTCCTGAAAACGTTTTCTATAATAAAAATTTCTTTTCTCGCTGAAAGGTTTTGTTGTTACCGTTGTTCGCCATGCTAACAAAACCAGCCGAATTGTGCGGAACGATGAAATTCTCGTCTTCGAATAAACCGCCGTAAGCGCTCACAGAACTGCTTCCATCCCTGTTCAGAACATCACCACCTAAAAAAGACATTTAATAAAAGAGAAATATGTGAACAGAATCCTCTCATACCTTGGATCATGAAACGCTGAATGACCCTGTGAAACGTTGATCCTTCAAAGCTATTTCCATCTATGCCTTGTGTAGCCAAAATCTTGAAATTGTTCACGGTTTTCGGTGCGATTTCACCGAACAATCCTATAACTATCTTCCCCACGTATTCGCCACCGTGCTCCACGTCTAGATAAACACGATCTGTGACTTTGTAGTTTTCAGCCTGAAAAAATTGAAATTTAAACTTTTTTCAATTGATTTGATTTTGAATTGAGTACTTACTTTGGCGAGTGCCACCAAAATTAAAACGCACAACGATAATTCCATTTTTTGCGCTCTTCTGAACGAATGGAAATTTTAATAATGGGAAAACTCGTCGTAGCGCCGCTAATTCAATTTATTTTCTAATTGGTGTATTGGACGGCGCCTGCTCCGATCGTTAATTGGATTTTTATTTGAAATCCCTTTTCTCTTTTAAATCGCGACTTGCCCCAGTTTTTACTTTAAGGATTTCCAATTAATACATTAAGGCAGCGTTTTCCAAACTGTGAGGCGTGCACTAGTCTAAGGGGAGGCGCGAATATTAGTAGCAGTGAGCAATTTACCAAATATCTGCTAAAGTATAGA